CTTCCCAAATCCTTACAAGAATGAAGAGGAAGCTAGATTAGCCAACAATGGTGCGTATCTGCTGGTGTCAGGTTCTTGAATATCAATGAAACAATTTTATTCAGTATTTGCTACCACAATTCCCTTAGCATCCCCTACAACTAAGAATACTAAAAAATGTTGTGCATTTGAACCACGCATTAAATACTGATTAAACAATTTTGTAAAGGTAGGTTCACCATTTGGCCAATAGTACTTCATCATGCATCATTATAAAAATATTTAACATTCCAAATCACATCATTCCTCCATACTGGATTTACTCCATCTTACAGGGTTAATACTAGACGATAACATAGTGTCTAGCTCCCGCTTATAACTCAAATAGCACGCATCATATGGCACTTTAGCAGCGTGTGCAAGCGACGCATTCGCTGTAACAATGAAGCGACTTTATTAAAAACTATTTTCTCCATGATGAAACGTCTATTTGTTGTTTTTTTTTTTTTTTCAATTTCCAGACAGGTTCGCAGCCCAAAAATGTTTCGCGGCACAAATTTGGGCCGCGGACCATAGTTTGCGGAACGTCGATTTAAACTATTAAGAAACCTGACTTGCACACAAGGGAAACATGATGGGACCATTTTTAATCATCTGAGACATTTTGAATGTAATTATGATTAATAGTTATAAATATTGCTTGCTCCTTTACTTTGTTGCTAGAAAGCACAAGAACATTTTCTTTGAAATTTTGAAGCTATTAGGCTAATCAACTGAATTGAACTCTGCTACATCACTTTTATTTTTTTCTTTTAAAGGTGCTTTACCTCCAGACCTGAGTTATATGGCTTTAGCACGTCATGGTGGAGAAGATTATGTTTATGCATTATTGACTGGGTACTGTGACGCACCTGCTGGGGTGGAGGTCCGTGAAGAATTATACTATCACCCTTACTTCCCTGGACAAGCTATAGCCATGGCTCCTGCACTTTATAATGAAATTATTGAATATGATGATGGTTCGTAGACATTTCATCAATCCAGTTAAAAAAACATTAAATTCGTTTATGTAATGTAAAGATGTGAACATTACAATTTTTGATCATTTAGTTGACTTGCGTTCAATTCTATGTGGTAATGTTTGGTTGTTTTGAATATCAATATCTAGGCACCCCAGCTACACTAAGTCAACTTGCTAAGGATGTCTGCACCTTCCTAAGATGGGCTGCAGAACCTGAACATGATCAGCGTAAATTAATGGGAATGAAGGTACATTATTATTTTTATATTTTATTTCTAATATTGCATTTGATTCTGTATTTATATACAGTACCACAGTGTTTCAATTCAAATTTGTAGCAACAAGTGTGGTTACCATAAACTCATACCTTTGAAAAGAAATTATTGTAATTCAAATATTTATAAAATTATCATGAATTTTCTGTTTTTTGTCTTAATTTTCTTCTGTTTTTTTTTTCTCTTTCCAAGATGTTAATGATTATGTCAGTGCTAGTTAGTGTAGCCTTCTATGTGAAGAAAACAAAATGGTCCGTGCTTAAATCAAGAAAGATTGCCTACAAGCCACCGGCATAATTTCTTAAGGAGAGTGAATATTTTAGACAGAGTTTGTGTTTGAGCCAACATTGTTAATAGTGGAATGACAGGAAGACACAATTCCATCATTTCTAAAGAAAGTTCATATTAATACATACACCTATTATGTCCACTGTGGCATAAATCCTGTATATTTACATCAGAGCAATATAAATT